AATTTAATAAGAATATAAGATGGGCTATGATTATTAGGATAAGAAATGGATTTTAAGAACTGAGTAAAGTGCATTTGAACTCTCAACATTTTCTCCATTCACATTTCATAATAATAAATCCTTGACCATTTGGAATGTCATTAGTGAGTGTCAGGATTATCATTTGTCTTATGTAAGTAAGCAAGCAAATAGTGAACACTCATATGTTATTCATATGAGGTCACTTTTAACCTGTGAAGACTGGCTTGGGGATGAAAGAGTTATTTTGGAATAACATAGATCTTTGAATGACTTTTTACCATTAAAGAATTTTATATTACAAGGACAGAATTGATCATGAATATAATCCCCCAAAAAGTCCTTGAACAAAGATTTACAATTCTCTTAGAAAGATACAGAAGAAAACTGTTCTTAATGCAACTTATTTGGATATTTACAGAAATTTGGCATATTGTCTTACTGGCTTTTACATCACTCAAATGATTAAAAAATGTGTGAGATTATAACACCATGTAAATTACCGTAAGGGGGAGAAGTATATGTCTTCGTAACTTTGTTGCTTAGATACTTTTGAAAATGAATATAAGTTACACATGTTGTATTAGCAATTCTTCAAAAAGGCATTTCTTAAACCCTGGGACAGATCATTCTTATCCATGACTTTACACTTTCATGTCAGACTGTCTCTTACCCATAAAGAATCATATAGCATATTTAAGGAATGATCAGAGTGTAGTTTGTATCTATGACACTAGTATAGCCAGATGAAATGTAAAAAAAAATAAAAATTATCAATTACTTTGGCTGGTACCATATACACACTTTATAGAAAGAAATTCCTATAACTCAAATGAAAACATCTCAGTAACTTACTTTATAATTAGCATTATTGGGTCATAAAATTAGAAAAAAATTCAAATTATATAAACAAAATTAAAACCCTTTCTATTTCTATTGTGTCACATAGCTGAGAGTCCATAACATGATTAACACTATGGCTTCATACTGCCTTTTTAATATAATTTTTTTAAATGTTTATCTAGATTGCATCATAATTTTAGTCATCTCATATCTGGGTAGAATCTTAAGAAAAAAGGTTTTACAAAGAAATGTGAGACTTCCCAGTGGATGTACATTTGTCTTGTATGTTTTTAATTCAAAAGTTGAGCATAGAAATAACAAGCAAAACATTTTAAAGTCACATTGTCATTACATTTAATTATAATAAAGGTGATGAAATTTCCATGGAAAGGCACGCAGTAGCCACTAAATATGATGTAATTAATTTTCTTTCTTATCATTAATCAGATATGAATTATTAATGAGAGAATAATGATTCTGCTTTGCAAGCCTTTGTAATTTATTAGCTTCTTCAAATTGAAAATCTCCAGGGTGAAAAAATATCTTATCTTTATATATATTATTTCAATTCAGAGCACTTTACCAAGTCCATCTACCAGGAGAATACAGTCAACCTGTAGATTGAAGTTTTGATCTATAGAGGTGATTATAGCTGCATTTTATTTCTAATTAGAAATCAAAGTTAGGTTTGGTGATGTCTCCTTAGACAACCACCTTGTAAAGGCTAATTTAAAGGTCAACTTTCATTCCATTAGAAATACGTAACATTTCAGATTCCCTCACATGATGAAATCTTTACTGTGACCCTAGAATAGTTGGTCTCAATTTAAATTTTGACTCTACTTCTTGCTATGGATATGATCTCTCCATCCTTCAGTTTGATTATCACTTAAAGTAAAAAATATATATATTATGCTGCATAATATTGTTTTGAAAATCAAATCCAATAATCCACATAAGCTGCATGGCAAAGTGCTGTTCAAAAAGATTAGCTCTAGCCAGAATAAATGACCTTGAGGCAATTTCTGAACTTTAAATAATTTGTAATGTATCTTAATGATTTCCCCCTTGCTCTTCTTCATAAATAGAGAAATGTAAAGGGTCTTGTGAATTACATATTCATTGGTTCTGTTCTTTTGGGAAAGTTTTGGCAAACTTTATTTATAAAGGTCCATAAAACAAAAACATACTGTAGACTAGATTTCACTGGCTTAATTGTCATTTGCTAACCCCTGCCTTAGAACAAAGAAATGTTGCTTATAGTGAATCATAGAATCATCTTTAAACAGCTTTTATTTTTTCTAATTAAAATGTAATCTATGCTTATTATGAAAGAAAATAGAGAATAATTTGAAAAATATAGAAATATTTTTAAAAATACACAATTATAATCATATACAACTCATGAGTAAATACTTTCAACAACTGATTTATTTTATAGAATTTCTATTTATCTATATGTATCTATCCAAATTAGAAATACACTATGAGTATAATTTTAATTCCCATTCTTTCTACTTAGCATTATACAATGAATACCTCAAAAAATCTTGTGTCATTTATACATCTATCATTAGATTACACTAATTATACCTCATAGATTAATATCTATTAATAATCTAGTCCTTCTTCATAGATAAATATTTATTAATGATCTACCCCTTTTACTAGATTGTGTTCAATTTGAGAGTAGAAACTGTCTTACTCATCTTTGTAAGTCTCATGCTTAGTACCATGACTGGTACATGGTAAGTGCTCGTAATTGAATAAATTTGAAAATTTAAGAACATCATTACCCTTTACTCATTATTGTAGTTTACAGTCCTCATCTCAGTTCAAAGAGAACATTGTTAAACTCACTACCTGTTAAAAACTAACCCCAGTTATGTAGAAAGCAATAATAGCATGATTTTTGATTATTAGTCTATTTAGAGAGCTCATTACTTGAGAAAAATAATATTAGTCAACTTCCAAAGTTATTCCAGTCTTTCTTTTGTTGTGTGAGAAGCAATTTCAGTTAAAATAACTTCCTCTAAATTGTTTCAAGTCAGATACTTCTAAATCGCAATTCAGTTTGTACCTAAAATTCAACATCAGTACTATAGAGGATGATATATAATTTATAAAATAAACATTTGAAGACACCCTTTTAGAATACAATGAGCCATTTTTCCTATGAGAAGCTAGGTTTTCACAGACATCTTATTTCACAAAGTAAACACCAAGAACTAGGATAAGTGTAACTTCTTTTGGTGAGGAAAGGCGTGAACAAGCTTATGTTGTATCTAGGAACACAAATTAGTTTGCATAATTTTGCTGAAGAAAAAAGCCACTCACTAATTCCAAAATAGTCAAAAGAGTACTTCAACTTATCAGCTGAGTTAAAATGATTGATTCACTGGTAGGTTTTAGACTAATATCAATATGTTTCCAAAATAAGCTCTATCTGGAAAATCTGGATAAAATGTCTTCCTGAGCACAGGCATCAAACTCTATTTTTCAGAGTTCTCTATTAAAAAGGTCAGAAGTAAGTAAGAAAATAGGTGGGAATAGAATTATCTTCATCTATGGAAACTTGAGAAGTTGGCATTTGTGAAGGTAACTGATGATTTTCTTTCATATCCATCCACCCTCACATACACACTCTATAACACAGGGAGTTACATTTTCCAAGCTCTTCTATACATATGTTTATGGGCTGTGTAAAGTATTGGTGGGTGAAAGATAAATGAAGCCAGGGCAGTTCTGCTTAGTATGGCATCTTTGTGGTGGCTGGGGATCATCTGTGACGCCTGCTCCTGCCTGGATCCCCCTTCCCAACTTCCTATGTTTCAGTTCTGCAAAGGTAGACCTCCCTGCGATCCTAGCTCCTGTGGGATTTCGGAGGTTCTAGATTCTGGTCACACTGAATCTTCTCTTTTCCCATTCTCTTGTGCTTTACTTTTTACATTAGCATTTTTTATCTCTCTCTGTTTTGGTGTGGATATTTATTTCCTTCTGATCACTGATCCTTACTTTGGGTCATCTTCTGTTAAACATATTTTCTTAGGTCTTAATTTTAGTTATTTTTTATTTCTAAGTTTTCTGCTTGTTTCTATTTTAGAGATTCCAGTTAGCTAAAATTCTCCATCTTGTTTTCTAATTTATTAAACATGTTATTTCAATATACCATTTATTTTAGAGTTTGTGTCTAATTAAATCCAATTTCTGGATAACATAGGCCTATTTCTATATTAATGCTTTTAATTTTGGTCATTTGGTCTTCTGGTATGCCAATTTTTTTTTTCTTGAAATGAAAACACTATGAATTCCCTTTGAAATAATTTGAGATTCTGATGATGATACAGTTTTCCACCTAAGATTTCCTTTATGTTAATGGAAAGTCAATGAAGGAATTATCTTAAATCAGTTGGTATTGAACTAATTCTAACACCTATTTAATCTTGGTGAAGGGTCTCTTATTTCTGGTTTGCCCTTACTCCAAAATATAAATCTTCAATGGTCCCCATAGAGTCCTGGGCCAATGCCCTCCCTCCTTGTGATTTCTAATCTCTAATTTTTGTTCTTCCAGCCTCATAAGACCTCTGAAAACTCTGTTCATCTTTTCAGCCTCTTAGCTACTATTTTCTGCTCATCTTCTCAATATCTCAACTGTGTTTATAGATTGGAAAATGCCCAGAGTAGCAGAATATTGGATTTACTTATCTACATGGTTGTCCTCTCTGAAACAGTGACTTCTCTGGTCCTTGCTGATTTCTTAATTTCTTAGTTTCAAACAGATTATTAAAATGGTTTATACAGTTTTAACAGCCCTTCTTGGTGAGAGAGTTGGCTTTATATAACCTTGTCCACAAAAATGGCCAAAATAAAAAAGTAGAAAATTGAATAATGAATATATAGGAAAAAGTAGAAAAGAAGGAATTATATTTGTAATACATCTAAAAGAAAATCACAAAATAAAAGGTGTAAATATAAAAATAATTAAAAATAAGAATTATAAAATTATAAAAACAAAAATTCATCCGATTTCTTGGAGTTTCTAAAAAGCCAGGAGAGCTAGCACCGTCTCTCTTTGGCAAAGACAGCTGTTTTCTTTCCCCAAATTTATTTCTTCACTTTTTCCCTCTGCTTTCCCATAGGATCCCTCAGAAGGTTAAAGCTCAGAGAGAGAGCCTCTTTGCAAAACATCCAATCCCTGCTGCGGTAAACTCTGGAATTTCTTCACAGTCCTGACCTAAGTAAGTAAATCTCTTTGGTCACCAAAGAGCACTTTGGAGGAAAATAATTGATTCTGGGTCTGGATCATGGAGGATACAAGATGAATCTGGGACATCTTGTTGGGTTACAAAGTAATAAATTGTTCAGAGAATGATGAGGATATAATTTAAGGGCAAAGGAACCAGCTTAAATGTCTTTGGACAAGCCTGGGGTAATTTGAGGATAAATTGAAATAATGGGAGAAATAGATTATAAAATAATCAATATTTCCATGCTGATTAATAAAAATACAAATAAGCAAATAAAGGAGTGATAAAAGAAAGCTCTTCCTTCAGTAGAATGGCAACTAATAAATATAAAGGAAATAATGTGACTAGGAAATCACTAGTGGATACTAAATCTAGTGGATGAAAGTTTGTTGAGAAACAGGATATTTATATAATACAAGGTGTTTACCCCCAAATAACTTATTAATTACATTAGGGATCAGTAACCTTACTGTGAAGAAACCTAGTGGACAGTTCCTTAAGGAAGTGATTTAAGGTAACAACACTAGTATTAAGATAAACCAGCCTCATGTTTTTCCTGATGCTGAGAAGGATACGTACTTTCTGTGATATTCCTACCAAAAGTACATAAGCTGAATCTCACAAGGAAGTTATCAGACACATTAAATAGAGGGACATTCTACAAAATAACTGGTGCTCTTCAAAAAATGTTAAGAAAAACAGACTGAAAAGTTGTACAAGATTAAATCAGACTCAAGAGACATGACACCTAGCTGCAATGGATGATCCTGGATTACATTCTGTAATGGCAAAAAGAAGTAGATGGTCCTAACAATTGACAAAATTTGCATATAAACTATGGATTAAATAATATCATTACATCAATGTTATACTTTCTGATTTTTATACTTATACTATAGTTTTACAAAAGGATGTCCTTGTTCTTAAGAAATATACTGAAGTAGTATGTATGTGTGTTGTGTGTAAATATATATATATATATAAATGGGGAAAAATATACCAGCTAATGATCTAGGTAAAGGTAAAGGGTATATAGGAATTCCTTGTGCTATTTTGGCAACTCCTGTATAAATTTGAAATTATGTCAAAATAAAAAGTCTACAGGCAAATAAATCAGATAACAAGAAATCCCCAAAACTATAAAGTATAAATGGATGGGGTCCAACTACTGAGAATAGCAAGAAGCCAGTGATACTTATAACTATGTAGGAGGAAACAGAGAGCAAGGAAATAAAGATAACATCCTGGTAAAAAGTAGGCATCAGACTGTTCATAGGGAAACAATGCAAATGGCCCTTGAACATACTGGAATTTGTTCAATTGCCATCATAAATGAAACTGAAACTAAACTGAGATATTTAGTATATTTTTCAAAATAGTATTTGCCAAGGATGTTATAATATAGTTATTCTCATATGTTTTGGGTAGAAATGTGATATGCAACATCTAGCCAAATTACACATAAGTTTACTTATTGACCCACCAATCCCATTTGTAGGATTCTATCTCAATGATATACTATAAAAATATTAAAGAATGTATGCACAAACTCAATAAGTACTGAAATATCCCTCAACAAAGAAATGCTTGAATAAATTAGAATATGTCCACATAGTGGAGTACTATGTTCCTTTAAAAAGAAACGAGGTATATCTCTACATACTACATACTACATAGTGGTCCAAGACAGTTTTTTAGATGAAAAAAATGCAAGCTGGTGAAAAGTATGTAATACAAGAGGAGGGGGTAGGAAATAAGAGTATATTCATGCATTAGTTTTTAGTTACAAAGGGGTGAGGAATGAGCCGAAAAGTGAAAAGAAATGGTTGCCTACAGTGGGGTGGAAGACAGAGGAGGAGGAGACAGGGAACTTCTATGATTATACCTTCTTTTCTATTTTTGACAAAATCAGCTATTGCTATAAAACTGTTAGTGTGTGTGTATGTCTCAAAAAGAATGTATAATCTTAGTGAGGCTTAACTATATTAGCACAGAATTATGTGAGAATACTTAAGGGTTTGTTCACATTAGATCCTGTGGTAGGAGATGAAGTCTTTCAGGAGCAGATAATGAGGAAGCGAGTAGGAAAAGGGAAAGTAAGAAAAGAGAGAAGCTGCTTTAAATACAAGTGGTCATTGGAAACACATAAATGAAATAAAACAAAGCAAGGAGACTGCATGTGTGCCATGGGTCCTCTTATTAAAATTATATTTATATAAAAAGATATAAAAAAAGATGATCACTGAAATATTAGTGGTGTTTTTCTCAGGGCGATAGGATCTTAGATCATATTTACTTTGCTCTATATTTATGTATTATTCATCTTTTTAAAACATTGACTCTATACTATTTATACACCCAGAAAAGTGTAATTAGGTAATTTCCATTCTGTACTAAAATAACTACTATATAGCAATAATATATAACTAAAAGAGCAAAAGAAAATGGATCAAAGATGTGAACAATCATTTACAAATAAAATATAAAGAATAAATATACATTTGGAAACATATTCAATTTTTTAATAATCAGATAAATGCAAAACAAAGCAACAGCTTATATGTGAAGCAGGAGAGAAAAGGGAGTGAAGGATTGCTCTTCGTTTATTGACATGAACTAGAACAGTTGGTGATTCATGACATGGGAAACACCTGGAGAGGTCTGGTTTTAAGTTGAGATGTCTATTAGACATCTAAACATTGAAGCCAGCCTGTCAGTTAGATGTATGAGCCTAAAGCTAGGAAGAAGTTCCAGGCTGGATTTTTCAAAACCTTGAAACTAGATGAAATCATCATTCAGATGTGAAATAGTTCTAAGCACTGAATTGTAATGTTCAATTAAGATTCAATTAGTTCAGTCCTAATGCATCTATGTTCAGACCATGGGGAAAAGTAGAGAAATGAGTAAAAGAACTTGTGAGATAGAAGAAAAACCCAGAGATTGTGCTTTTCCTGGAAGAAAAAAGGAAGAAATATTCTCAGCCAGTAACATTAACTGAGAACTGATTATAGGATTTATCAATATAGAAGTCACTGACAAGAAGGACCAGTTTCTTTCAGGGAAGTGATAAGGGTTAAATTCATTCAGGTGGGTTTGAGAGAATAGAGGAGAATTGGAGGAGAGGTCTTTCAGACTGTGAAGTTTGAGAACTTTTTTTGAGGAGGTTTTCGATAAAGGGGAACAGTGAAACAAGGAAATAGGTTGTGTTAGGAGAGGGCTTTTCTTTTAAGATGGGAGAAGGCATTGTATATAGATAGGCCAATGAAACTTTATTACTAGAGGAAATTAATAATTAAAAAATGGGGAAATTGTTGAAGAGTAAATGAGAGGAGATGGACTCTAATGTATGAATGAGAACGTAGGCATTAATTAGGAGTTCCAGCTGTTCCCACGGAGGATAGGTACAAATACAAGCAGTGAGTACACAGTGGTCAGAGCTATTGAGATTTTTGATATTGCTTCAATTACTTGAATGAAGTTAGAAGTGATGCCGTCAGCTGAGAATGTGGATAGGTTAAGCTGGTATTAGAGGTTTGCATATAGAAGGGAAATAAATGTCTAAGTTAAAACAATAGAGGATGTATTACCCAAAGTTTTTAAGTTGATGGGCTCTGGGAAAATATTTCAGTCATAATATCTGTCTTTTGCTCCAATCAAACCACGACTTCTTTGTAGTTCCATATTGAAGAACCAACTGAACTCCAAATGTGTGATGGGCCCCAAGATATACCTTCATGCCCTTTAGCTAAACATAAGCTTATATATTTGTTTCTCCATGTGGAGAAGAATCAGTATTAAGTCACTGAATAAGTAATCTATATACATACCTATCTTCAAACTTTGAAAATCAAATTATTATACAAATAAGCTAAAATATTTGGGCATTATAAATTATACTGTAACTTAGTCTACCCATCTATTATCATTTACACATTTCCTTTAATTTTAACCCAGAGAGAGAACATGTAGGCCTAATTTGATTTTCAAGAACAAACCTTTCCTTTTGCCCATACTGATGCTCCAGACCGTATATGGAGGAACTCACATCCTCACATCATCTAAATCAAAAGCTGGTGTAGTCTTCATTTCTGTGTGCAAGTTTGGTCATAACAAAGGATGTCTTTCCTAACAGATGTTTTCTCTTGCAGAAGTGCTTCATTTTGTTTATGGTTTGGATTTGATTTAGAATTCTTCCTTCAGTATTGTTCCTTAGTAAGGCTACTGGGAAATGCTAATATATTTACCTCCTATGAACACGTCAACATGACTCAGTCCTGTAGTACATATACATAATGTTTGTTCCCCATTGTGGTAACCAACAAGTAACTATTGACAACCTACTTGTAATGTGCTTAGTGCATCTGAGGAACTGAATTTTCAATTTAATTAATTTAAATTCTAAAAGTGAATAATTTCAAAATATTTTTCCATTAAACACAACTTTATTGCTTTCAAAGGACTACTGTTTACTGTAACCATTAAAAATTTAGCATACAATTGAGATGAGCTTTAAGTATAAAACACACACTGGGTTTGAAGACAGTATGAGAAAAGAAGGTCAAGCATCAACTTGATATATTGATACTGGTTGAAAAGATAATGGACTAGGTAAACAGGTTTAAATAAAACACTTAAAAATAAAGTAGTTAAAATATTTTTATTTAGTTATAAAATCATAATAAATATATTTCATTTTTTAATGTGGCTAATAGGCAATTCTAAATCACAGGTGTGGCTTACATTATATTCCCACTGTATGCACCACTGCTCTAGGTCATTAGACATAAATTTTGTGCCAGATGAATAGGAAGACATTAACTCTGTGGGTTGCAGTTGTTGCCTCCTTCCTTCTGTGAGGCAAAGAGCGTTAATTCTACATTTCCAGTCATTTTCTGTGGGTTCAGAATTAACAAGGACAAGCTGTTGGATTAGGACTACCTTTCTAAGAAAAATCATCTAACAACATAAAGGGTACAGAGAAGATAATGGAT